CTGGCCTTGGACACTTCCAGGGATCCAGGGGCAGCCACAGCTTCTCTGGGAATTCTATCCCAGCCCCTCCCCACCCTCACAGCCAAGAATTCCTTCCCAATATCCCACCTAACCCTGCCCTCCTTCAGCTTAAGGCCGTTCCTCCTTGTCCTGTCGCTCCAAGTCCCTCTCCAGTTTAATTAACTACATTTATTTTTTTTAAATGCTTTGTTGTTTTGTTTATTTTTTGAACTGAACAACTCCTGACTCTTTAAGGATGGGTAGACAAATAAGTTCCTTGAAGTTGTTTTTAAACATCTGGTACATATTTATTGTGATTCTTCTACTTAGACAATATTTCCTCTTATTTTAAGAAAATGCTACAAGTGCAGAGTTCTAAAGGGAGTTTAATAATAGTGGGGTTTTTTAATTTTTATGCTGCTTGTTAGAATATAATTACTTTATTACTTGTTCTCATGGACAGTGTTTTAATACAGTGCCACTGCTTGGTGTATTTATAGTAGAGAGGTTTGCACAAAAATATATACAAAGGTATTTTATGTGACTTGTTTTAGGTTAAAGGTGCCCCCAAACCTCCTCAATGAGGTTGGTCAGTCAAGGAGAAAAGTTGCTGGTTCCTTGAACGTTTCAAGGCACTTCAGGGCTACAACCAGGCATCCCCTGTGTGAGCTTTAGTGACATCAGTGCTTGGTTGGTCGTGTTTTCAAGCCAAACTCAGGGACTTTTAGGTTGTGTGGATGTTATCCATGTGAGGAAAGGATCAGCTGGACACCTTGGTGATGGCAGTGGAGCTGTCTCTGCACCACTAACACTATTTTATAGAATCAGTTCTTAGTTTTCCAGCTCCATCTTGGTTTTTTCTGCATTGTAGCTTCTGTTCTCCTATTTTACTGTAATTGTCTCCTTGAAGTCTTTGTTGTCCTGTGCCCAAGCAGCTCAGAATTGTCACTTCTTAATCCTTTCAGCACCCTTGGCTTTCATGGTGGACAGTTCAGTGAAGTCTTCTGACTACTTGTCCTTTGTGCCTCTGTCCTCCTCTGAGTTCTTGTGCTTCTTGTCCCACCAAGAGTTCTCCAGAGCAGGTTCCTGGTTGGAGTTGAGGTTCTGTAGGAGCCTCCTGGGGAGTCTCAGTGGCTTTTTGTCTTTGCATTGATCTGATCTGCACAACCCAGTCCAGCTGAGATCTTCATGCTGGTGGGTCAGATCATCTACTCTAGACCTAAACAAACTCCTTGTTCTTTCTCTTAGAGTTGCCCTTTTCCAGCTCTAGTTCATCTCGATTCAAACTCTTCTTGTTTTTTTCTCATAAAAGATGTGACTTTCTGTGGGTGAGGGCACAGAGTGTCACATCCAGTTCTTCCTGGGACACCTCCAGGGCTGGGCACTCCAAACCTCCCTGGGCAGCCCCTGCCAAGGCCTCACCACCCTTTCCAGCAGGAAATTCCTCCTCCTGTCCAACCTGAGCCTCCCCTGGCACAGCTGGAGGCCGTTCCCTCTCCTCCTGTCCCTTGTTCCCTGGCAGCAGAGCCCGACCCCCCTGGCCCCCCTTCTTGTCACGAGTTGCAGATCCAGAAGGTCCCCCCTGAGCCTCCTTTTTTCCAATTCTGCTTCTGATCCTTAAGAAAATCCTGTTTTTAACATGCAGCCAAAGGCTGAATGTCTCTTGGAGAAGATTTGATTGATCTGACACGGCCATAAAAATAGGAGGAGGGAAAAGGTAACTCTGGCAGATACAGGGAGTTTAATTCTTAAAGGGTAAATCCTTTTAGTGCAGTGGCTCACATCCAGTCAAACAGATGAGAATTAGGTCTAAACAGACAAGGATTAGATCTCCAAGCTTTGTTTTCCTGACACCAGGATCATCAGCAGGCTGGACAGTGGGCTCAGCTTGGCTGCTCCAGCTTTCCACAGCCTAAAAGGAACTTATTCGCTGCCCTAAAAGTGATTTTTTTGGGTGCAAGTGTCCACCAGTTGGTTACTAACGAGTTACCAACCCCTTTGCTCCTGAGAGGGCCCATTCCCTGGGGACTGAGCAGCCAGGGCACTCAAGGAAAGCAGGAGTTTCCCGGGAAGCTCCAGGTAAGGAGAGTCTTTCCCGAGCTCCAGCCCCCCTCTGGTGGCCAAAGGGCCGCGGTGCTTCTGCTGGGAAAGCCAACCCTTCTCCCAGATCCCATCCTTTCCAGAAACTCCCTCTGGTAAATAACTGCCTTGTTACTTTTTCAGGTTATTTTTATGTCTTTCTTTTTACTTCAACGGACTCTTTTTTTTAATTGAGGATATTTTCTGGTTCAGGTTCCTGCAGTGATTTTAATTCATAAACAGAGAGTGGGGAAGCCTTGAATGGGAATTTATTCCTTTTATTCCTGCTCTGTCCTGCTTGGATTTTGATTTTATTGGTTTGCAGGCCATATCCTGCTATTTTAGGAATCAAAAGTTGTAAAAAACATAAAATTTTTTACAATGTAAATATTGCACTGTTAGAAAACAGTAACAACAATTTATGTTAAAATATATAAAATATATGTATTTTTATACATATAAACCTTTAAAATATCTTAAAATTACCCTTAAAATTTTATTTATATAATCTTCTCTTGCACCTCTTGCTTTCTGGCTGTGCTCCCCAAACCCAAATAATAGGAAGATACTCCAAAACCAGCCACTTTTCTCATTTATGAGGGTTTTAATTACAATTAAAAACTTCCAGCTCTTTCCTTTTTAACTTTTTCCTTCAGGAGTTAGTCTTTAGGCTTTCTTTTCCCAAAAAGTGCTGGGTCCTGCTCTTGGCTGTGGGGTCTCAGAGAGAGCCAGAACCAGCTTCAGGGAGCTGTAGGAGCAGCAAAGTTGGGATCTGTGGGATTTTCCTCCTTTAACAATCCCAAACTCCTCTTTCTTTGTCCATTTTTAACTGGTTGCATCTTGTGAGTTCAACGTAACCCGATGGTAAAAGAAGATAAGAAGCTTAAAAGTTAAAGTCACAACTTCAAAGAAGTGTTTTTTTTTTTTTGTTCTGCACTAACATTTTGTCTCCATCCTGGGGGCTCAGATGGTCTGAAATTGTTTTCAGTGAAGTACAGAAAGGTCAGAAAATTACCTGCTCAGGAAGTTGAGGTGGACTCACAGGCAGATTTTGGTAACAAATTCCAACAGTTCAGCTTTCAGGAAGCACCTGGAATTGGAAGGTCAGGCTGATGCTGAACACTTTTATCTCTGTCTAAGATCACTTAGCACCTGCATAATTCCTGTTTTTTACTGACCAGATCGTGGCCAGAGATTTCATTGATCACAACTAGATCAGGGGCAAGTTCATGCCTTAATTCAAATCCTTAATTCAGTTAAAAATCCTTCATTCAGTTATTTCCACTACCTGATAAACATTATATTAGTGGGGGACTTCACCAGACTCTGTCCTCAGTGTGAACATGTCAATTAAACAAGTCATCACAACTGGAATTCCTGCTAAAAGTTGCCTTTATACTCTTAAAATCTTCATTATTTATTCTGTTCATTATTTATTCCATTTGTAAAATGGAACATGGACTTTACACAAGCTGAATTTATCTTTTATTCCCTTTTCTTAATGAACGTGGATGGTGGTGGATCTTTCTTTTTAAAAAAGAAAAAATCTGAATTCAAGCATCCCATGAACAGAATATATATTTCCATAATCAAAATAAAAGGCATTTAATAAGGAAATCTTATTTTATTTTATTATTTTATTATTTTTTTTAAATTATTATTATTTTAGGTAATAAAACCTATGGCCAAAGAGAGGGAATTTTGTTTTCTCTTCCTTTATTCATCAAACCCAAAGACTCTGCTGGTTCAAATAACACACCTGAGTTAAGAACACAGTTTCCTTCAAACATGGTTTGTCTCAGGTGTGTTGAGTATCAGTGGGGCTCTTGGTTGCCTTTTTTATGGGTGTTTATTGACACATATAATTGAAATTAAAATAATTCTTGTCTCTCAGACAGAAATTCCAGCATCTCTTTGATTTGGGAACGTTCTCAGGAAGATTTGGGGGCTGTTTCCAGGAAGATCTGAGGTTGCAGTGTTGCTCTCTGGCCACCAGATAGAGACTGAAGCTCGTGAAAGAGGAGTTTTCTTTCTCTCTCCTCTCTTTTTTCATCTCTTTTCCTCTTTCCTTTGGTGGTTGAGGATTCTCTGAAGCCCAGGCAGGAATCAGTGTCACCCCATCAGTAAAGGATTGGAGAGTGGTGTTGTATAAAATGGATAATGAGACTTTGCTCCACGGTTTTCCATCACCAGGAAGGAGAGAGGGAGCAAGAATCCCTCTTGGAAAGAGAAGAGAACGTTACAAATGTTAAAACATAAAAGGAGGAGGGGAAAAAAAAACCCCTCAATTCTTTCTCTTCTCCCACCCAAAACTTTCTGAACCCAGGAGAGCAAAATAGAACCTGTTGAGAAGTTCCTGCAGGTTCAAAGTGAGGTTTTGGGAATGTGGGACTGTCCAAATCCACACTGAAAGGCACAAATTTTAAATAAGGGACTGACTGCAAGAACCAGAGGAGTAGCCTTCAGAATTTTAATTAATTATTATTTAATTATTTACAGTAATTAAATAATGATAGTTAGGGAACAGCAGCAAATCAGATTATAATTTTTTTTTTTAACCAGGCTGCTGATTTCAGAGTGGAAATCAGATTTATTTTTTAAGTAAGCAAGGAAATTTGACTTATAAATTAGAAAATAAACAGGAAGACTTGTCCTATAAATTCCCATTCCAGATTACAGGAATCTTATATGTGAATAGTTGATCTGAACTATGGAATTCTTGAAGTGGAAAACTCAGAGTCCCTGTGCTGCTCATCCAGCCCTGCTGATATTCCTGTACCACAGCCTGGGTTTTACCAGCAGAATCTACCAGTGTTCTTGTGCTCCAGTTAAGAAATTTTAAGGAAATACTTGGATTTGGGAAGCCTGGAGCAGTGCCAGCTGGGATTAGGATGTGCTGCTGCTCAGTTTTTAACCAGATTGTGGGAGGCAACCAAAGGAGCTCCTATTTAAGTGTGGTTTGTTTAATGCTCCACATTTGTTTGGCAGCTGAAAGGAAGCAACAGAAAAATGTTTTGTAAATGTCAAATAGTTTGTTTAGGAAACTTTCAGGCAGTTTCCTGATGTTTACAAAGTTTTATTGCTTGTAATAAAAGAGAATTAATGTCTTTCCCTCTGTCCATGTGCTCCGTGCACCCACTGGAGCTGGGATTTCTGGGATGGTTCCTTGGGTCCCTGAGGGCAGGTCTGGTTTCAGAAGCACAAACCTTTATAATTTCTTTTTTGTGAGACCTTTTTTGGGTCACTGCAGTGTGATTTTTAAAAAAAAAATTGTTTTGTCGTGCACTCTTTGCACAGCAACTATTCTAATATTTATTGTAATATTTAGTAGTTTAATACTAAATATTGTATTATATAATTTAATAGTATAATACTGAATATTATAGAATGCAATATGATAGAATATAATAACATCTAGTATTTATTACTCAGTAACATTCAAGTAGTATTAATTAATTAATTTAATATTTAGAATATAATAACATCTAGTATTTATTATTCAGTAATGTTCAAGTAGTATTAATTAATTAAATATTTACTAATTATTATTATCACTAATAAGATGGAGGAGCAGTTCCACTTCTCCAGGTCATTTATTAGTTCAATCATATGGATATAAAACATACATGAAACAAGGTTTTCTCCAGTGGAATTGCTTAAACTTGCCCTGAGGTTTCCTGTCATTGGGGAATGGGGAGGAATAACCCCAGGCACCAGCCCAGGCTGGGAATGAGCTGCTGGAAAAGGACCTGGTGGCCAAGGAGCTGTCCCTGAGCCAGCAGCGTGTCCTGGGAGCCAAATGGGATCCTGGGGGATCAGGAAGAGCATTTCCAAAGGGTCAGGGAGGGGATCCTGCCCCTCTGCCCAGCCCTGGGAGGCACATCTGTGGCACTGGGTCCAGCTCTGGCTCAGGGACAGCAGGGACAGGGAGCTGCTGGAAGATGATTCTCCTGTGGAGATGCCGAAGGGATGGAGCATCTCTGGGAGCAGGAAAGGCTGAGGGAGCTGGGGCTGTTCAGCCTCCAGAGCAGACACTGAGAGGGGACCTCCCCCAGGGTCTGGCAGAGGATGGACCAGGACTTGGACTCTGATCCTTCCAACTCAGCTGAAGCTGAACAGGAGCCAGAGTGTGCCCAGGTGGCCAAGAGGGCCAATGGATCCTGGCCTGGCTCAGGAACAGGGTGGCCAACAGGGCCAGGGAAGTGATTCTGCCCCTGGACTCAGCCCTGGTGAGGCCACCCCTGGAGTGCTGTGTCCAGTTCTGGGCCCTCAGCTCAGGAAGGACATGGAGGGGCTGGAGCAGGTCCAGAGGAGAGCAACGAGGCTGGGGAAGGGACTGGAGCACAAGTGCTGTGAGGAGAGGCTGAGGGAGCTGGGGGGGCTCAGCCTGGAGAAGAGGAGGCTCAGGGGAGACCTCCTCACTCTCTGCAACTCCCTGACAGGAGGGGGGAGCCAGGGGGGGTTGGTCTCTTTTCCCAGGCAACCATCAGCAAGACAAGAGGGCTGGGTCTTGAGCTGTGCCAGGGGAGGTTTAGGTTGGAGATTAGAAAGAATTTCTTTGCAGAGAGGGTGCTCAGCCATTGGAATGGGCTGCCCAGGGAAGGGGTGGATTCTCCATCCCTGGAGGTGTTTAAGGACAGACTGGATGTGGCATCAGTGCCATGGGCTGGGAACCACAGCGGGGTTGGATCAAGGGTTGGACTTGATGATCTCAGAGGTCCCTTCCAACCCAGCCTATTCTATGATTCTATGATCCCGTGATTTCTTGCAGTCACTGTATCACTAAATTCCTATTTTTTTCCCCTCATTTCTTATTCCAGAGGCGGATGCCCCAGACTTTCCGTGATCCAGCCACTGCTCCACTGAGGAAACTCTCCGTAGATTTGATCAAAACATACAAGCATATTAATGAGGTAACAGCTCCTTGGTGGGCACTGAGGGCAGGGCTTTGTTACAGCACATAATTAATGTATTTCCTACAAATAATGTCATGAAAGGATCATAAAAATCAAGTTTTCTCTCAGTTGTTCCCATTGAGGTCATTGATGTCCTGCTCCAGCACAGGAAATCTTTTATCCTGGAATTTATTTTCTCTTGTTTTCTAAACAAATGTTTTGCATGATAAAAGAATTACGAGGGGCACAAACACACTTTGAGCTATAAAACTTCATGAATGTGTCTGAGGACTTCTAAGGAAAATTGTTTTATATTTTACATACATATTTTCCCTAAATTATATCATTAAATCTTATTGGCAAATGTAAAATATAGAATTGTTGTTGTTAATACAAGCAGACACCAATAATTTTGACAGTTGAAGGGATTTCAGTGACTTCCTTGGAATTCTTGTGGAAAGCTCCAGCTGATAATTCTTATTTCCAGGCTCCTTAGCATTTTTAATTTTGCTGTGTACTTATGGTTCTGTTCTTCTTGCACCTGTGAGCTGCAGGGATCAGAACATTAATTTAGATCTGCTCAATTATTCCTCAAGACTTTGCTTTGCAATAAAGATTTGGCTTCAAACAGAGCAATAGCAGAGGGTGGCTTGGATTTCCACTGCTCCAAGTTGCATTTTAAACCACAGGGTGGTTAATAAAAGTTGATTTTGCTCTTGATTGAACTGACAACTCTAAAAACTGCTCTTCACCAACCCCCTTTTCACCTTCAGGTTTACTATGCAAAAAAAAAACGGCGGCATCAGCAGGGCCAAGGAGATGATTCCAGTCACAAAAAGGAGAGGAAGGTTTACAACGATGGATATGATGATGACAACTATGATTATATTGTGAAAAATGGGGAGAAGTGGATGGATCGTTATGAAATCGACTCTTTAATAGGCAAAGGATCCTTTGGACAGGTAAATATATCATTTTATATATATATAATTTATATGAATCATAATTATGTTTAATTTGAGGTGCTATTCCTGTTTCATTTTGAAATTAAAACTGGTTTTTCTCAGTGCTGTTTTACTGAGTGTCTACTCAGGACACTCATATTTTGTGGTGTTTCAGGCAGCATTTGAATATATTTTATTTTGTATCTCTGGTAAAGCATTTTACAGTGAGAAATCCTCAACCTTTTACCATCAGCTGTTTGGCTTAGCTTTTAAAATTAAAACAATAAACCAGTCCTAGAGATCACCTGCTCTAAATGTTATTAGTAGCATTTATTTGGACTGTTGGTAGCCAAACCAAAGGCTGGAAGGAGGATAGAGCTTTTCTTTTTTGGTTGTTTTTTTTTTTTTGTTTTCCTCAGATTTTGCCAGTCCTTTTACAGTGTTGGTTTAGGTGATTTGATGATTTTATTTCCCAGTCCTTTTAGAGTGTTGGTTTAGGTGATTTGATGATTTTATTTCCCAGTCCTTCTACAGTGTTGGTTTAGGTGATTGGATGATTTTATTTATTTATGAAATAATAAATGCTTCTTGTCTATTGGATAATTTTATTTGTATTTATCACATGTATTTTTATTGACATATTTATTCATGTAAAGTGCCCTCACAGCAGTAAATGTCACACACTCGGCTGTGGCTCTGTTGTGGTATGGAGAGAAGAAATCAAATTAAAAAGGACAAAACTTCTGGAAAAGTTTTCCTGAATGTAGACAAGTGAGTTTTGCTGTGTTCTGAAAACTGGAGAGCTTTTCCTGATGGATTTGGCTGCTCTGTTGCAGGTTGTCAAGGCCTATGACCGAATGGAGCAGGAGTGGGTGGCCATCAAAATCATCAAAAACAAGAAGGCTTTCTTAAACCAGGCCCAGATTGAAGTGAGACTGCTTGAGCTTATGAACAAACATGACACTGAGATGAAGTACTACATAGGTATTTCAATAATTATTCTCCCATTTTTATCTTATTCTTAATATAGGACATTTTCCCATACAACAGGGTGCTCCTGGTCCTAAAGGAATACCGAGAAAACAACACACTTTTAAAATTATTCCTGTGATTTCGTGCAGATTTCCCAGTTTGCTTTGTGACAGCCAGAATTAAAACATGGAAAACAATTTGTTACTTTGCAGTGTTGGGATTTTCTGCAGAGTTTTCTTTTTTCCAGTTAAGGACACCCTGAAGAAGTTGCCATGGACCTGTGATGATCTGTGGTGGTTTGCATCATTTTCACTCTTTGAATATATCTCAAATTATCTCACAACTGTCATGGATAAGGACATATATTTTATAGGAATAACAGAATATAGAACATAATATTTTATGGGAACAGTAGCTTCATCATTACTTTTTTTAAGTGTGTTTAAAAAGCACAAAATTTGGTATAACAACCAAAAATTTATGTAAATGTTAAGATTTTCCCATTTAGAGCTCAGAAAATATTTGAAATCCTATTATTTTGACTGTTTCTGTAGGTTGAAGTGTTGTTCCCTTGATTTATTATTTATGGTAATAATGAAATCAAGTCAACTCCTGTAAAAAGTTTATTAAATCCCATCTATCCTGTGGAGTAGAGAATTGGGAAAGAAATGATGGAAAGAAGACAACCCCATGCTGTAAAGAGAGATGGAGAAAGATGAAAAAGAGTGATTAAGGAAAATTAAACTGGGTTTAAGCATTTCTTAGTTTGTAGAAGCCAAAATACCAACAGCTGTGCTGTCCTGGTTTGCCTGTCTGTATTGAATTCCTGATTTTTCTTTCTGTAGTTTAGAAAGAAATCTTTGAAATAATTTTAACATACGTTGGTATTAAATTATTTTATGATTATTCACTTAAATTTTAATTTGTTTTATAGAATAGCATATTCAGAATGCATTTTATGTATTCAGTGTCAAAGCTTTTGAGGTATTTTTAAGTTAAATTTATTAATGGCAGGTTTACATAAAACAAAACCTAAACTTGTCAGTGCCCCATATCAGAAAGGTGTTAAAGACATGACCAGTTTCAGATTAATAAAAGCAAGTAAAGGCATCAGCAAATAAGCTCTTGGAATTTTAAATTTGTAGGGAAGAACCTGTCCCAGGTAAGTTGTAAAGGGCACAGAAAGAACTGGCTCCTGATAACAGAGAAAACAAATCCTTGGACACCAAAAATCCACCTTCATTAAAAACCTTAATTCTCATTGTGCTGATATTGGTTCAGCATTTTATTATGGCAAAAAAGGGGAGTGTGTTGCTTTTTATCTGAGGTGTTTATCCTATTTCAGTTCTCTTGTGGCAACCTGAGCTCTTGGCAGACTGACAAACAGATTTAATGGGATGAATATTTCACTTATTTCATGGAAAAAATTGATGGATTGGATTTGAACTGAATTGGTTCCTTCCAGAAACTCACATTGTGCCTGCTTGAAATGAATAAAATGCCCCAGGGATATTGATTTTAATCAATTATTTTTAATTATTAACTGTATAATCAATTGAAGTCACGGCTTATAAATTGCGAGTTATAAATTATAAATCTTAAATGAAGCTGATGGTCAGATGCTTCCTCTGTAGATGCAGGGGGGTGGTAACTTGCTTTGGTAATACAGCCTTTCTGTCTTCAAAGTAATTCTTTGGATAATACTGGGGATGTGTAAAATATCCCTCTGTACCCCAGGGCTTGCAGAAATATTCTGTGAATAACACAGAACTAGGGGAAAAGAAAATAATATTCTTATTATTTTACTCATAATTAAGCTTCCTAATTGTAATTAGCACCTCATTCTTAGCACACAGGGCATGTTTTAATGAATTTTTTTCCCCCTTTCCCAAGTGCATTTGAAGCGTCACTTCATGTTCCGGAACCACCTGTGCTTGGTGTTCGAGATGTTGTCCTACAACCTGTACGACCTGCTGAGGAACACCAACTTCAGGGGGGTGTCCCTGAACCTCACCAGGAAGTTTGCCCAGCAGATGTGCACAGCTCTGCTCTTCCTGGCCACCCCCGAGCTCAGCATCATTCACTGTGACCTAAAACCCGAGAACATCCTGCTCTGCAACCCCAAGCGGAGCGCCATCAAGATCGTGGATTT